TGCACTCTCAATTCTAATTCTATTCTTTAAAAAAAACGTGCCCCTTTAGACTTGCCCTCTATTCATTTACTAACTGCTTGTTTTCTTGAAAAAAAAACTAGTTTCTCTAATCTTTTTTGTATTCTATCTATTTGTTTTCTTTTTATTTATTATACAATTATCAAAAGCAAAAAAGGCCTCTAACACTAGCTTGCTCTATTCTTTTTCTATTCTATCTGTTTTCTTTTTATTTATTATATAATACAAAAATTGCTATGTGTACTGTGTTAAGCTAACTGAGACTTATTATAGCACTTGCACATCTTTGCTCTCTTGTTGATTTTGATGGCTTCCATTGTTCTCATTTGTAAGTCACTTTGGATAAAAGCATCTGCTACATGACTAAATGTAAATGTAAAATCATAAAAAAAGTTTGCATGTGTCATATTTGATACATCAGTATTTTATGGCTCATATAGTATGATATAAGAAGAATATAGAGCTCATGCTTGAGGTGGAAAAAAACACTTTAATTCTATTCAAAGGACCAAACTTAGCAAAAATATTTAATTTTGTGTAGTTGCTGATATGTATATAGCCAACAACTATGATACAATTCTGGTAGTTTGTAAATCAATTAAATCTATATAACAGCATAATACTTACATACAATGCATATAAATATCTGCTGTGATTCTACATCTCCCAATAAAATATTTGTTGCTCACATTTAACATGATTTTTCTGAAGAAAAAAAGATGTGTGGATAATCAAACCTACATTTATTCAGTCCAGTCCAGGCCTTTTACTTGCTTAAATCAAATGACAGAACACATGTGTTCTGATTGTGTACAATAGGTTTTTAAGTTCTGATCATGTTGTAATTTAGAGGCCATAGTAATATGAGACGGTAGACTTTGTAGGGTTACGCATGGCAGAGAGACATTGAGGTCAGATCGTTCAGGTAATTAAATCATCTGATGACGTCCCAGTAGGACCCAAGCGGTTCCTCACTTTCAGACACATCAGGACAACAATAACATTTCAACTGATGTCCATCTGAAACTGCTTTCCGTAGAATGCTACGTCTGTCAAGTGAGGTCTGTTTAGCTCTTAAAGTGCTATTAATGGCCATTACAAGGCAAAGATAAAGATTAACGTTTCTCTCGTCGAATCCCTCAGTGGGCGCGATGCTACAGAACATAGGAGGCCGGGCTTCCATTCTAATTCTCGTATAATTTAAATCACTCAGCCCACACTGACATAATGTGAGCTCCTTACTCCACTGCACTCTTGATTTACAATCCAGAGGGGAGACGGGAGAACTGACAAGCCCTGTGTTTTGGAAAGCTCTGCATCTAATTAGCAGAGGCTTTCTGGTTGCCCGGGACATGAGATTTGGCAGTGCGTGTAGCTCCTATCATTAAAACAGCACTCCTCGTGGAGTGGACGTGCAAAAAAAAAGCCTCCCTCTCAATAGAAAGAAAGAAAAATTAAAGATTCCTTTTTCACCAACATGTTTGTATAACTGTTATTTAGTGTGCTCGCTATTATACGCAAGTATTCAACCTGTCTGTTTAGACGCCCAAAGCAAATGGCATTTTCTTTTTCTTTCAATGTTTCTTTGTAAAAAAAAAAAAAAAACCTTCTTTGTGAAAACTCCCATAATTATATTTTTCTTTTCCATTGTTAAGTGCATTGCTTTGTAGACTCTTCTTTGAATCCTTTGAATGATCTTAGAGCAAATTAGCATAAAGCAGATACGCCGTGGCCCGTCGCTAAACAGAAAACAGAGAGAGAGGAAGAGCTCATCTAATAGGGCCGAATGGGGTTGCTGTGAGGCGGGCAGACTGCAGTTTGTGTATATGGAAAATATGAAGTTATAATAGGCGTCTGGGATTTCTGCCGGTTGCCATTTAAGTACCCACACTTACTCACAAGACTGGCGGAGGCAAAATGGTGGTCAGTTGCTTTGTGTGTGATTTTGGTGAGATTTGAGAAGGAGATGCAAGGCAGTGAGGTGTGATTGAGTGTTTTTGGTTCTGATTTTATGGCTCCTGTGTCTGTGAGGGATGTGTATTAAAATGGATGTTTGTTGTGCTGAAAGTTTGGAACACAAGATTAGCTCATGTTTTTAAGCAAACAAGAAAATGGAAATTGAGTATTTTATATAATGTCATCAAAGAAATTGTTCAAAGCTGAATGGACAACATCTGTTGCATGTTGATTAGAATGAAAATAAAATTGACTCAGTTTGTAAAAGCAAATTAAAAAAACACAATTGTTTGTCAATTGTTGTACATTTAACTCATGGACTTCCAAAGTAAATTCAAATTTAGCCAATAACCAACCATTATTAATAGACTAATAAACGTTAACCGCTAAGCTTCAGATTTTCCCAGTCTTTCTTAACAGACTGAGTGGAAGGCAGTGGTTTACGTGTTATAGCACCCTCATGCATGCATAAGTAATTTAGCTGTTTATGATAAAGTCATCTAGTTAGCTCATTAGTTGTCTATTGTAAAACAATTAAAAATAAAAAAACTACTTACTGAATTTAGTAAAATAATTTTAAAAACAATTTAATACAGCACTCTGTGAACAGCCAGCTTCTTTGGCAATTAATGTTTGTGGCTTACCCTCCTTGTGAAGGGTGTCAATGATTGTCTTATGGACAACTGTCAGATCAGCAGTCTTCCCCATGATTGTGTAGCCTAGTGAACCAAACCGAGAGACAAATTTTGAAGGCTCAGGAAACTGTTGCAGGTGTTTTGAGTTGATTAGCTGATTGGCATGTCACCATATTCTAATTTGTTGAGATAGTAAATTGGTGGGTTTTTGTTAAATTTGTTTTTGTTGAAATTGTTTGTGATGCAGCTGCTATGAGATTCAATACAGTTGGCTGCTTCATCTTTTAACAAAAGTCGTGTCAAAACATTAAAGAAATTTTGATTTCTCATGCCATGACTACTTTAAATTTTTTGTGTTTCTTATGATTCATTTTAAGAAGGTAATCTGCAAGTAAAAAAAAAAAGCTAAATAGCAATATATGCATGACCAATTGATTAACCAATATCAGCTGATCTGTTACATCGGTATATTGTGCTTTTGATGCACATTTCATATGTGGCCTAGTTGATAGTGCTAGGTGTTGAGCAGTGGCGTTCATTCAAGTTCATATTCAGTTTGTATTTGTGATCCTCCCATCATTTCCTGTCTGCTCTTGACTGTCACTGTCAGAAAAATGGGGAAAAATATATATATTTATACATTTATATTTTACAGCGCCCCGTTAGGCTGTTTATTTCAATAGAAAGCTGTCAGCATGTTAAAAATAGTGTTCAAAGTTGCCGTGTAATCAAGGTTTCACAAGCAAGCCAGTCGTCTCTGTGTTTATTTTGACTGATGCACTGTTAATGACATATCTCTGTCTAGCCTGTGTTTTTGTGTGTAAGAACGGGGCCATGTGTGTAGTCAGTGTGTGTACGTTTATCTCCCCATCCTCCGATGGGTTCCTCAGACTGTCTCCTGCAGGGCTGGAGCGCTTGATTCATTAGACTGTCAGCCTGTGCCTGAGAGAGTAATGCTTTTATGCAGGATTAGAACAGGGCCACCAGTGTTAGCTCTACTGGGAAATAAATACATGGAGGATGCACCCCCCCTAAGCTAGCCATTAGTCCTGCAGTCAACACCGCCACCGTAGATTTGTTTCTCTGATTCCTTTGATACGTCCTTCTTTACCAAAAGCCTCCAATCTCTTTTGGGCTGCTACTTTCCGGAAAAAAAAATAAATAAATTGTGAGAAGTTTGACACGGGCGGCTAATAACTGAGTCCTTTTCTGTCGTGTTTTGATTCTTTTTGCTTTGCAGGGAGACACTTCCATCTGGCCATGTTGGAAATGATGGGTTACAGGCAGTTGTGGATGACAGCTTTGAGGAGACTGTGTGACTGGGAAAATGCTAAACCAATTTAAATGTCCTATCGCTGGGACGAATGGATTTTCGGCAGGCGCTGTAAGGAATACTTGTTGCGGGGAAAGGTGGAATAGGGTGTTGTTAAAACGCTTGAATAACCGAAGCATTCTTTTGGAGAGAGGTCATGAAGAGAGATGCAGAACGAAACGGTCATTAAGAAAATTCAGTGTTTGCTCGATCGTTTCAAATTATAAATATGATAATTAGCCTCCAAAAAAAACTCCAAAAAATACTTCTTCATGAAAGAGCATTTAGAAAAGTGAAAATATCAGTTATTGGAAGCGGTGCCCATCAGCAACCCATAAGTCCATTTCCCTCAAATTACCATTCATTACCATTTTAGTGTCAAACCATTAGTTTGACCAGATAATCCTTGCAATTACCGGTAGTATTATACGGTTTCCTAACAATTCATTGCAGATTCTCTTTATGGCTCCATTAAAAGGATGGCTAATTTTGTGGCAAACTTGATTTCTCGTCAGTGGAGCCGGCGTTTCCTGTCGAATAGCCTTTGGAGAGCGAAGGCTCAAGGCTCTTTTATGGCCACCTCTCAGGCTCGGTGCGTCGGTATGAGAGTGTGACTGTGAATACGAATCGCCTCTTTAGCCCTGCTGCTCTGGAGGGTCAGGCATGTGTGCGAGACTCTGAGGCGAAGACAGCACTGCAACCACTTTTTGTTCTAAATGGGTGTGGGAAGTGATAGCAAGGATGTTTTAGCACACTTTCCATTAGATTGGTGGAAAAAGCTAAGGTTGATTTAAATATGGATATGAATTCACTTGACGTCCATACCTGACAGGCTTTCTCAATCATGTCTTGGTATAATTTTTAAATAACATTCATTAAAAAGTAATTAACACATATTATATAATGTGGAAAAGATCAGTATGCATGTACATTCGTAGACAACTATATAAATGAATAATTCAAAGTTTAATGAAGTTTTCAAACTACCTGAAAGTACATTAACTACTCTTCAGTCAAATATTTTAAGACTTTGTTTGAATAAATGAACTTGTTATACCTGCCATCCTTCTCTCCTAAAGAGTCTGCCTAGCTTTGGACCGTACTTAAAGATGAAGACTGAAGTCCTGGCGAGGTACAAGAAGAGCCTTAAAGATGCAATGGGCAATGTGATCACAGACGCCAGTGATTCTAGAGTTCCCCTAAGAAACATCCCCAAAAAACCCATTCCTAATGTGAAAGTAAGTAAAAGTGTCATCTCACCTTTTATTATTGGAGGCATTCAATTTTTCCAGTGATATTAGGGCTGTCAGTCAATTACAGATTTTATTCAAATTAATTACATGATATGTTGATGAGTCATATTAATCTCTCTCTCTCTCTCTCTCTCTCTCTCTCTCTCTCTCTCTCTCTCTCTCTCAAATTCAAACTTGCTTTACTGGCATGACT